ACTTTGTGACTTTTTTCTCTCTCTCTACAGTAGTGTAGGTGTCACAGTGGTCAGGGAAGCACTCTCAACACCCAAAACAACTTATTTTTATAGCTACACTCCAGTAAAGTTTGTGCAGCACAGTGGAAAAATTATAGTTTACTGTAACTGCAATGTGGCTACGAAAATAAGGGGTTTTTTTGACATTCAAAGTACTTTTCTACTGCGCTGCATCATTTCATTGAGAAGGAAAATATTAGATATCTTCTGGGAATCTTCCCTGCCCAGCACCATCTGAGTAAAAAAGTTGCAGATTTCCAAATAAATAAACAATTAAATAAACTTAAATAAATAAAGAAGACACAAAAATAAGCTCTTAATAGTCTGGCCTATTGTGATGCTCAGCATGTGCCAAAAATAGTTCCTGGCAGGCTCATACTCCACTTCCCAGTGCATGCCAGAGCATGGCTGTGAGATCTTTATTGCTATTGCTATCCAGATCAAATCTAGCAAGGTGTGCCTACCCCTTGCCAAAGCTTTACCCACTGTACAGATACCTTCAGACAAAAGAAACACATTGAATTGCTGGGGCCTGGGCAACAGATAAAGAACAGGAAAGGGGGAGAGAAATTCCTGCCCGGTTGAAGGACTCATACAGCAATCACTACAGGGAGATTTGGGGTTCATCCCTTCCACACCCATAGCGCTCACTTCTCTTAAGGTTGAGAGATGGCTTGCAATGTGTAATTCTCAGAAATGTCTTCCCTGAATGAATCCTTGCTGTAGCTCTACAGCAGGTGTCAGTCAGACATGCCCAAATACATGCTTGCAAAACCTGCCCATACAGCAATAATTTCATAACCTGCAGAAGTCAAGAACCAAGACAAAATAATACAGCACACATCAGGTTGAATGTGGTTAACTAAGTTGCTTTTAGTTTATTAATTTTACCCATATACACAGTTGATTTTGAAAACATCACGTGAAAGAGCCAGGACAAAGTGTAACAAACTGATATAGGAAAAGGTTTCAATATGCAATGTGTCAGTGTACCTATGGTGTTTTATACATACTTTACATGGAAAACCAAAAAACCCACAGTTTTCAGGGGAAGTATACATTTTGTTTTGAACTGGCAAATTTAGTTCATTAATATGTAAAAAAATAAATCTACAATAGCAACAGTGCAAACACATCAGAACTTGCATGGCATACAGAACACAAATGAATAAAAATTATTATTCAAAGAGCCCAATGTTTCCTCTGGTACTGGCTGTGACATGTACAACAAACAGGCTGAGGAATAAACTGCAACGTAAGCAGGAAGATGAACTGCATATTACTGGTTCTGTCTTGTATGGTCTCTCTATTTCAGGGGGTAAAGCTGTCATGCCTTGGATCTGCAATTAAAATAAGAAAAAATTATCAGGGCTTCATCATATAAGATGAGAAATCTGTGTTTTGCTATCTAGTTGGCGGCAGCTTGCATGAGAATTTATTGTTGGTCTTGTATTGGGATTTTGACTCTTACTGTGGAGAAATTAAGCTCAGTAAAAATATTAATATATTGCACACCAAATGATCAGCCAGTGTGCACATTCCTTGTTTGCAGCTCGGGAACAGCTGTGTGCACCGGTATCCTCTCCGGTAAAGCAACGTTAGGCTTTTGGTGGTTGATTTGTATGACCTCATTTTGTTCTGTGGGATTGTTTGGTTGGTTTGGTTTTTGTTTTCATCTTTCTGGCAGATAAAAGTGGAAGTTTCCAGTGCTACAGTGCTAAAGGGATCTTGGATGGTATTTGAAGGCATCTGACTTTACATACAAGGCTTACACTTGCATGTGCAAGACCATTAATTGTGCACACATTTATCTCACAGAATAACACAGTGGTTGAGGTTGGAAGGGACCTCTGGAGGTTATCTGGTCCAATGTCTCTGCTCAAGCAGAGCCACCTACAGCAGTGTCATATTTCTACATTCTAAGCATTTTTTACTCTTCCCTTATAACTCAGTGCAATTTTTATGGAGTTAGACATAACTGCCTGTTTGTCCAGGCTTTGACATGAAATTGAAGAGATTTGGGTGCACTGCTTGGCTATGCTTTTCCTAAATGTACTCCGCTTTTCCTAAATGTACCCCCTACACATTAAAGAAAAGAAGCTCTGGAAAAAGTGAGTCCCTGGGCACATGTATTTTTGAATGTCTGAATGCCCACCTGCACAGCATGTGCTTGCTTTGGGTATTTTCCCATGTTGCAATTATCCTACATTGTAGAAAAAAAAAATCTAAATATTTACTTAGTCTTAGCAAATACAACACAAAGCTAAGACTGACCAGGAGACCATTCCTACAGAGGGATGAGGGTACTTTCAACTCACTTTCTCTGCTTCAAGTTTTTTTCTTCTTGTAACAACTCACTGATTGTTTGACCATTCAGGTTAAATCTGTTCTTGATTTTCATGAGAATGGCCAATTTAATGTAATATCACTAATAAGGGAAGGGAAAGGAAAGAGTCCTAATCTTAGCTTTGATGAATATGCCCTAGTCATTTGAAATAGGAAACTATGATTTAAAGGAAGAACAAAGCACTCCCAGTTCCACTGAGCTCACTCTGACTACTTTCTTTAAGTCGTAAGAATTGTTCCTTCATCCTGTAAGATAAAGGGGAACAGAATTGCCCAGAAAACATATCATTTAGGGGAAAAAAAAGAGAAGCCTATCTCCTCCTGATAAAATTTGTGTGCTTTTCATCTTCTTAACTTGTCCTCTGACAATCAGTGAAAGAGCGACTAAACAGCTGCTACTGGCCAGCAGTTGCAAAGGTCAAAAAGTATAACCAAAACTACTGAAATATGACACACATGTACTACCAATAACTACTTTTCCCAGAAGGTCTGCAGTGGGACAAGTGTTAGAAAAATACCAGAATCTCTTTGATTACTTATAGCACACAGTATTTTATTGGCATTTCATGGGAAGAACAGTCTGATCAATGTTGGAAAGACCCGAGAATGCTGCTGCAGGAAGGGCAATTGCTCCACCACCTGAAAGCACTGTGTGACCCTCTATGAGGCAGCGTGGGATACGTTTTGCAGAGTGAGGAGAATGAGACCTTTCCTTCCAATTCTCTCCCCCATCTCACTGGGGGGGTGGTGAGTGAACAGCTGCATGGTGCTTAGTTGCTGGCTGGGTTAAACCAAACTAGGTCCTTTTCTAGGAAGTATTTAATCAGTAGTATCTTGTATCAGATCTGTTTGACTGGCCTAAAATCACAATAGGAGATAAGCCAGTACAATGAGACAATTTCCCTTTCTGAGCAGAAAAGCTCAAAGGAGTAAAATGGAGTCTTGAATTTGGACTCTCTAAAGGAGTTCAAGAAGCAACATGTATTTTTAAGCATCTCATTCAGGGATGATACTACATGCACTAGTAGTTCTTTATAAACACAAGTTGGTACTAAAGATGACAGCTTTTCCCAGCAGTTCTGTTAAAATAGAAGCAAACATTTAGAATAAATAATAACTCACTGCAGAACTGTTTTTTATCTTACAGGTTTTTTCATCACGAGAATTGGGAAAGGAAAACTATAGAAGATAAAATCTTCCAAAGATGCACAAAGGAATCAGACAAACCAAACGTACTTTTTTTGGCCCAATACTAAGACACAAAAAGACTAAGACCAACAAAAAAAGCAAGAGATATTGGAAGAGTACTCATGTAACTTAAGGTAGTCTAGATCCCAGAATTAAGAAGTTAGATTCTAGATGCTTCCTTATGCAGTCAATAAGCTTCCCCATGCAGTCAATAAGCTCCCCCCTACAGAGTGACTCAGAGAAGAAACCTAATCCAGCAATTTTGAATCATCCAACATAAGACACTAAAATAAGTCCCTGACAATGGAGGCAGACAAGGGAAAACAGCTTTCTGACTTGGTGACCTAATCTGGACATACGTGGTTAATCCCTGATCAGTCCCAGATACACCGAAAGACTCCATATTCCTATTACTGATCCCAAGTGCTGATCAAAGCTCCAACTTCTCTATTCTTCTTAAATACTTCTAGAACCTGAGTTACGTGAAAGCATTGATAAAACATTCTCATCATTTGTTATTGCATAAACAATTACATTTTGTAAATGCAATATAGCCGTGTAAACAGTCTGAAGACATATAACCAGCTACTTATTCATGAGCAACAAAGCACAGTAAATCACAGTTGGCTCATGACATTGTTACCTTCTTTTCAACACTTATACTTACCGACCATTCTGCATTATCTGTTTTTGAACATCTCACGTTCACTGGTAGTTTAAGCACAAGTTCATTATAGGAGTGACCCTCTGATCTGGACCATTTGAATTTGTTCATTGCATCCATAAAAGACAGATTTTTGTATTGCTTAGGACTCTTGATAATGAAAGGCCAAGTCCTAAAGAAAAAACAGACAACAGATTTTTAAAAATAGATTAATATCATCAAGTTGGAACCAATGAAAAGAATTTATTCAGAAAAACAAATGTACTATTAATATGCATATTATGCCTAACTCTCATTCTCAACTAAGTTCTCTGCTACTGAAAACTGATGCAGTTTCATTGGTTTTAACAGACTTATAAAAGTTTGTCAGTGGTTTAGGACTTGCTGCCAGATGCTTTTAGAAATGAAGGACTTTAAGTTAAGAAAAAGAATTACATTGCTGTTCTCTGATCTACAAACAGTACACAGGCAACACAAAACTGATCTGCTGTAACTTTTCAAAAAACCCAAAACAACCAAAAAATCCACACCCTTCATAGGTTTGGCAGATAGTGTTGCAAAGAAAAGTTTGCCATTAGAAAGCTGCTACCAGATGGCTCTGCCAAGTTCTGGTCATAACTCAGATGGTTTGTCAAAATTCAGCCTAGTACAGGAGTTGCTCTAACATGCATTGGTTGGCAGCAGTGCCAAAAGTTCAAACCAGAATAACTGGTGTTGTGGATGTTGCCTTTTGTCATGTCTCTATGCTGGCTGCAAGGGGACTTTTGGGCAGTGGTGGGGTAGAGACCTGCTGCACTGCTGTGAGAGATCTGACTATTTGCCCACCTGTGGGAATCCTCCTCATGAAGAAGCGGAGCCAACCCCATTCCCCACCAGCCAAATATGTGGAAAGGGAAGCTATGAAAATTCTGATCTTTCATTTAGAAAAGAAAACTCAAAAATAATAACAAAAGAAAATGTAAAAAAACAGCTAAAGAAAACCTTTTCCATTGTTCTTGCTTTCTCCTTGTTTGACCCTACTGGTATGAATGGGAGCAAATAGGTGGATGGGTCAAGTTCTTAAAAACAGAAAGTCCAATACAGCTAAGTCGAAGAAGGAAAGTAGCTAAAACTTTATCTAAGTAACCTAATTAATGCTTTGGTTGGAGCATGAGTTTTCTTTTCAAAGCACTTCAGACAGATCTGTGTTATCTTGCAGTGGGCTGTCTCCTACTTGCTTTGTGTAAAGTGCTGCCTATGCCAAAGTTCAGCTCTACTCAATACTTAGGCACAGTGGACACCCATTTTGCACTTTTGTGGCCCAATCACTTTTATCTCAGCTCCTCATGATTTATACCACTGTCTGTGCCACCAGACTGAGAAAAAAAGGGGTTTTAAAGTGATACACAGTGCCTTGATCCTGCTTCCATGTGTAAGTCAAGAGAGACTTTAGACGAGTCAGTGAAGCAATTCCAGTGTAAAACTGACACAAGAGAAATGAGTATCAGGTCACATATCCTTAGGCTGACAGAGCTTAATGAAACAAGAATTGTGGATTAGGTCATAAATACTAGAGGCATTAATAATCTCTTCTTCTAATTACTATTCCATTTGCAGCAGACAGTCTGCATACTTACTCTATTCAAAACATCTTTATTTCCCCAGGCCAAATGTGCATTTTTTCCTTAAGTACAGTTATCATGAATGAACACTCAAGAGAGCATACATTTGTTAGAATATTTTCTTTCTAAGCTCAGAAAGACTCTTTTAGCTAGGACCAATTTAGAAACTATGTTCTCCCTGTATTAAAAGACACTGTAAATAGAAATAGTGTGAAAAATGAAGTAGACATTGATTGCGTGGTGACTTTCTTCAAACTCTTCAGTCTTCGATATAAATTTCAGAAGACCAGTAACCCTGTACATCAAATTACTTTGCAATAATAATTTTATATGGTTTTGTTAAGATAGACTGCATAAGGAAAGATCACTTTGAAAATTTAAATGTGTTGACACACTATTAGTCTATTCATTTTATTTTAAAATGTTACTATTACATAGTTTAGCGCAAATAATTTTGCAAATGTAATTAATCTTTCACCACTAATAATGCATTCTAATTTCTGTTGTTTGATTATTTTCTTGCATTTCATTCATTTGGGAACTTTACTTTTTAGATTATTCTTACTCTGTTTACAATCACTTCTACTGCTCATCTGCTATTGAGATGCTGTAATTTTAAGCACTGTAAGGAACATTTAAAATCTGAAATACGCTATTTATTAATTTTTATGTATTCACACACATTTATCCTGTAGGCTTCCTCCTATCTCCTACCAAAATTCAAAATTTATGGTAGATTCTGGAAATCACCCTTGCTCATAATGAGCAGGTCATCCTCCTGATATTAAACCAGAGCCAACAACACACTGGGAAACATTTTGTTCTTGCCAAGGACTCTCACAGTGAAGGCCAGCAAGAGTTCTGCTGACTTACTGGAGAAAGTGTAGCACCTTGTTTAACCTTCACCCCTGCACTGCATCCTCTCCAAATTCAACATCCTGGGGTTTACCCTAGCAGGGAGATGCCAGCTGAACTCCATGGACCTTCATGGTGGTTATTATAGAACATGAGTTGCCTAAATGGTAACAGCTCTCTCCTCTTCACAGAGGGGGTACTGAATATTTGTGAAGCACTGATGTAGACATCTTACAGCAAAATGATATTACCCATTTTGAGCTGAGCAGTGGGCCAGTATTCAGATTCTTGTGGGTTATTTTTGTTAGGAAGAAAAACTGATGAGTGAGCTAAGGGGGTTTCCATCTGACACAGTCCTGTTTTCTTCTCAGAAATGTTCAATGCCCTGCTTCCCTGAGGATTAGGAGTCCAAGACTCAGGAAATGGTGTCTTTGCACAGAATTGCAAGCCCCTGCAGTCAGCAGTTCAACTAAAAGGCACTTTCATTCCTCTTGACTAGACTCTTACCACTGGTTCCACATTTTTCTCTCTACTTACCTAGCATATCATCCTCTGGCATGTCATTCTTCCAAAGCCTCCATTCCCTCTTTTCTCTCCATCATGGTGCTTATCTACCATTTTATCTTTAACTATGAACAACTTAATATTCTCTCATTGCCTCCATTTCCTTTCTAACTTACAACTTCTCTTTCGTGCAGTCTTGTCAGTGTCACCAAGACGCCACTGAGCTGTAGATGTGAGCAACAGAATCAATTCTTCTCTTGTTTACACCAACTGACCTCAGCAGAATTACTGACAACAAATCTACCCAGGGTAATTAAATGCTAATCCTCCCAAACTCTTACTTTTTCAAAATTATCTATATATATGTGAAACACTGAAATGTTTTGGTAACTTGATAGATTTGAAACACTGATGTAACACTGAAAAATAGTCTATTTAGAGATGGTAGTGGTAAAAAATACTGCTGTGTGAAATATTATTTCTTTAACAGAATAAACTGCTTTTTGACTAAAAAAAAAAAGAGAAAAGATGCAAAATAATTTGGCAGGAGAAATAAGCACAGTATACAGACCAAAAAGAAGTGGCACGAGCACCCCTGCAACATGTTGCACTACCAGAAAGAAAGAAAAGTTGTATTAAAATGACCCTCTAATCCAACAGACAGAAATAGAGATGCTGCACATATTAATAAATATTTTACTTGCCTGACTGGTCTATAGATTTCCTTAACACCAATGAACTGGAGTTGTTCCATTATATCTGGAATACTTGCACATCGAGTGAGGTTGATTCTCGGGTAATAGAGTAGATATGACAAGCACATTTCATTCCTGGTGCTCAGACCACCCTGAAAATAGGATTTTTCTTTTAATCAACATAGCATTGGAATTCCACAGATAAAAACACTGATTAGCATTTATATGCTAATTAAATGTTTATCAGGAGGCCAAATTCAACAGGATTACCTTCCACATTAGCTTATCAAGTAACAAGAAGTTATTACATAACTAATTACAAAATACACTGCAAGCACAAACAATAACTTCTGAGTTTAAAAGATGTGGGAAGTACAACTATCAGTAAAATACTACTGTTATAATGTTGAAGAGGACTATCTGAGAAGTTCAGGTTTATTTTGGGCTGTCTCCAAGGAACTTATATCTACCATGTTTCAGAAAAAGGGCTTCAAAGTGGAACAGATGTAGGAAAAAACTGGTAGGATAATTTATCAGTAAATTAAAGTAAATTAGCTTTGCCTAGTAAAATGGAGGCTGGGATAGAATATTTATCTATATGAACTCTCCTTTTAAGTATATATGCAGATAAAGAGTAAGAAAGAAAAGCGTTATTTAAGTTAACAGATAACATTGACTGAAGAACAAATAAATGCTAGCTATAAAAGAATTAATTAAAGTAAGATTTTTAGCTAGTGGAAGAAACAGGTTCTGAAACAGTCTTCCACTTAGAGCCATGAGACAAACTACTAATTTGAAATTAATCTTGGTAAATATGGACAAGATTATGAGCTGCATGTTCCTAAATTCTGTCTGGGAACAATTCCACAAATCTCACAGAACGACAGCAACAGGAATGGAGAAGACAAAACACATGAATGAAGGGCCAAGAACTAGTGTGGTCACCATATAGGAAAATAGGATAAAAACCCAAAAGCCTTCTTTCTCACTCTTGCCTTTCTTTAAACAACTTCTGCATGCACCTACTTACAAGCTATGATTCAGGGAGAGGCATCCCTGTGCTCTCTCAGGACCAGGTCTTCCTTGCCAAACAGAAAGCTCCCAGGTCTCACCTCCTGGAGGTCTGGATCCAGCCTCTCCCAAGGAAGCAGGATCAGCCTCTGGCAAAGGCTGGGTGCCAGCACCTACATCCCTCCCATACATATAGTGGGTTTGGCATCATGTTCTGGTTTCACAAACAGCTCATGTCTCAATAATCAAATCTGATTCACCTCCAAAACCAAGTGGCCACATTGCAATGGCTGATGCCTGGCCTCTGCTAACCTGAAAAGCTGTGTCTGGGCTCTACCTGCAGCATTCTGGGGCAGCAGCTGTCTGGGAGAATCCCTGTCACTGGAAAACCCACAGTGTGAGAAAAGTAACGTGCAGCAGCTCACTGTGCCCAGGCGCCTCCTCCCAGCCCAAGGGACCTGCATCCTGCCTAGGTTCTATGTCAGGCACAAAAGCAAGTGGCCCCATCTTGGTCATGGCATAAGTAAAAATCAGTATGTAAAAACTGGCAACTACAATTTCAGGGAAAAATGTGTAACAAGTTCATGAAAATAATTCATTAGAATATGCAGAATTTTTATGTCAATACATGTTGTGAAGAAAACATCCCTTATACTAGCAAAGCCTGATTTTTAAAGAACTTTTATAAGCTGGCTTGCTTATTTTTATAAACCAGTCTTATGCAAGAGATCACACTACGATTATCATAGTCCTGATGACTTTAAAATCTAAAAATCTATTAAAAGAAAGAGAACACATAATTACACGTACACAGTAAGTACACAGATTTTAATAACATTTTATGAAAAATATTTCAGTGCCCAATATTATCCATGTCTTTATTTTGATCCATTAAAATTTCTCTTACCCATGTCATGCGAATTCGGTCTACAGTACTGTAGTGACATTCTGTGATTAAATTATCCCCCTGAAACACAAGATTTAGGAAGTTCAGAGTTCTCCAGTTTATCAGCACCAGCTTCAGGTAACCAGAGATGACAGCAAACACTTAAATAAAGATTAGAACAGTGGATATGACTTTTTGAAAGAGTAAAGGATTAGGTAATTGGTGTATGCTAAGGCCTTGGCACTTAGCATTCATGTTATCCAAGATCCTCAGGGATTCCCTATGGATTTAAATGGCGTCTTATTAAGAGTCTGGTCTGTTGGTTTATTTTAAGTGGCAATGGAGGTGCCCAGTTATATTCCTATTTTCAGGAAAATTACATATGTAGACAATGTAAACATATGATTCTTCCTTCAAAACTCATCCAGTGCTACTTTGGATAGCTTTCCCCAGGCTAATTTATCCTGACAACTTCAATAGAGATACTTGCCAAATGAGGAAAAGAAGGTTTTCCACATCACAATAACAACTATTTATCTGCCAAGCCTGGGAGTAGAGGAGTGGCAGGCAAAGATTTAACTGCATTGACAGCTTTCTATGGGAAAGGCTGAATGCTTACCTTCTCAAGTACACACAATTAACTTTTTGCTGTCTTGACAAACTGATCTACAGTTTGGTAGTACCTTTATTCCCTGTACCTGGTCAAACACAAATCTCAAAATCACCTTGATAACAAAGTGGAAACTAAAACATTGAAGAACATAGTGAGACATCAAAAAAAACTTCAGATCAGAAGGATGCCAGAGGCGTATTTGCTTTGGCTCATTTTTTTTTGTATCATCATCTGCATTAATTTTCCGTGAAAAAAATCAGATCACCCTTCGAATGTTGAGAATTTCTCCTTTCCTGCAGGCTGTCTCATTGCCAGACCAATGCCAGCGCTAACTGTACTTCAGGCTGCTGGAAGAAGGGGCATGAGCTCCATGTCAGCCAAATGGGGATGGAGCTTTCTGAAGCACTGGGTACTGCCATAGCTTCACTGCTCACAGCAGGA